ATGCCAGCACCATTTGTTGTAGATGCTTTCTTTTTCCCATTGTATAATTTTAGGTTCCTTGTCAAAAATCAGGTGTTCATAAGTGTGTGAAGTAATATTCAGGTCTTCAAATCAATTACATTGGTCCACTTGTTGGTTTTTATGTCAATACCAAGCTGTTTTCATTACTACAGCTCTATAATAGAGCTTCATGTCAGGAATGGTGATGCCTTGGGAAGTTCCTTTATTGTACAGGATTGTTTTAGCTATCCTGGGTTTTTTGTTTTTCCATATGAAGTTGAGTATTATTCTATCAAGGTATGTGAAGAATTGTGTTGGGATTTTGATGGGAATTGTATTGAATCTATAGATTGCTTTTGGTAGGATTGCCATTTTTACTATATTGATCCTACCTATCCAAGAACATGAGAGATCTTTCCATTTTTTGGTATCTTCTTCAATTTCTTTCTTCAAAGACTTAAAGTTATTGTCAAACATGTCTTTCACTACTTTGGTTAGTGTTACCCCAAGATATTTTATGTTATTTGTGGCTATTGTGAAGAGTGGTGTTTCTCTGATTTCTTTCTCAGCTTCTTTATCATTTGTTTATAGGAGGGCTACTGATTCTTTTAGTTGATCTTGTATCCTGTCACGATACTGAAGGTATTTATCAGCTGTAGAAGTTCCCTGGTAGAGTTTTTGGGATCACTTATGTATACTACACATATCATCTGCAAATAGTGAAAGTTTGACTTCTTCCTTCCCAATTTGAATCCCTTTCATTTTCTTTTGTTGTCTTATTGCTCTAACCAGAACTTCAAGAACTATGTTGAATAGATATGGAGAGAGCAGCCAGCCTTGTTTTGTTCCTGATTTAATGGAATAACGTTGAGTTTTTCTCTTTTTATTTGAATACTGGTTGTCGGCTTGCTGTATATTGCTTTTATTATGTTTAGATATGTTTCTTGTATCCCTGATCCCTCCAAGATCTTTATCATGAAGATGTGTTGGATTTTGCCAAATACTTTTTCAGCATCTAATGAGATGATCATATTTTTTTCTTTCAGTTTATTTATATGGTTGATTACATTGACAGATTTTCGTATGTTAAATCACTCCTGCATCTCTGGGATGAAGCTGACTCTATCATGGTGGATGATACTTTTGACATGTTATTGGATTCAGTTTGCCACAACTTTATTGAGTATTTTTGCATCAATATTCATGAGAAAGAATTGTATATAATTTTCTTTCTTACTTGAGTCTTTGTTTGGTTTCAGTATCAGGGTAACTGTAGCCTCATAAAAAGAGTTTGGCAATGTTTCTTTTGTTTCAATTATGTGGAATACTATAAGGACTATAGGTATTACTCTTATTTGAAGTTCTGGTAGAATCCTGCACTGAAACCATCCAGCCCTGAGATTTTTTTTTTTTTTTTGGTTGGCAGGCTTTTGATGTCTGTTTCTATTTCCTTACAGGTTATAGGTCTATTTAAATTATTCACCTGTTCTTGATTTAATTTTGGTATATGGTACCTATCCATAAAATTATCCATTTTTTTATATTTTCCAGTTTTGTGGAGTACAGGTTTTTGTAGTATGACCTGATGATTCTCTGGATATCCTCAGTGTCTGTTGTTCTAGCCCTTTTCATTTCTGATTTTGTTAATTTGGATGTTCTCTCTCTGCTTTTTGATTATTTGGATAAGTGTTTTCTTTTTTTTTTTCTTTTTTCTTTCTTTTTTTTTTTTGTTTTGTTTTTTTTTTTTGTTGTTGTTTTTCGAGACAGGGTTTCTCTGTGGCTTTGGAGCCTGTCCTGGAACTCGCTCTGTAGACTAGGCTGGTCTCGAACTCACAGAGATCTATGGGCCTCTGCCTCCCGAGTGCTGGGATTAAAGGCGGGCGCCACCATCGCCCGGCTGGATAAGTGTTTTCTATCTTGTTGATTTTATCAAAGAATCAGCTCTTTGTTTCATTAATTCTTTGTATTATTTTTTGTTTCTATTTTATTGATTTCAGCTCTCAATTTGATTATTCGCTGTCATCTATTCCTCCTGGGTGAATCTGCCTCTTTTTGTTCTAGAGCTTTCAAGTGTGTTGTTAGATTGCTATTGTAAGATTTCTCTACTTTCTTTATGTGTGCACTTAGTACTATGAACTTTCTTCTGAGCACCGCTTTCATAGTGTGCCATAGGTTTGGGTACATTGTGCCTTCATTTTTGTTGACTTCTAGGAAATATTTAATTTCTTTCTCTATTTCTTCCTTGACCCGGTCGTGGTTGAATTGAACAATGTTCTACTTCCATGAGTCTGTAGGCTTTCTGCAATTAGTGTTGTTGTTAATTTTAAACAATGGTGATTCAATAAGATAAAGGGTGTTATTCCTTTTTTGTATCTGTTGAGGTTTGCTTTGTTACTGAGTGTCTGGTCAATTTTAGAGAAGGTTCCATGAAGTGCTGAGAAGAAGGTATATTCTTTTATGTTTGAGTGAAATGTTCTGTAGATGTTCAGCCCATTTAAGTCATGACACCTGTTAGTTCTCTTATTTCTCCGTTAAGTTTCTGTCTGGTTGACCTGTTCACTGGGGAGGGTAGGATGTTGAAGTCTCCTACTATTAGTGTGTGGGGTTTGATGTTAGATTTAAGCTTTAGTAATGTTTCTTTTACACATGGGGATGATCTTCTATTTGGGGCATAGATGCTGATGATTGAGACTTCATCTTTGATGGCTTGTTCCTATGATTAATATAAAATGCCCTTCTCCAGCTTTTCTGATTTATTTTAATTTTAAGTCTATTTTGTTAACTATTAGGATAGCTAATATATTGTTTCTTAGGTCCATTTGACTGGAAAATCTTTTCCCAACTGTTTTCTCTGAGGTAACATCTATCTTTGTGGTTGAGGTATGTTTCTTGTATACAAGAAGAGGATGGATCCTGCTTTCTTATTCATTCTCTTAGCCTGTGTCTTTGTATAGGTGAATTGAGTCCACTGATATTAAGGGATATTAATGACCAGTGATTGTTAATTCCTCTTATTTTTAAATGGTAGTGTTTGTACATTTCCCTTCTTTGAAGTTTGCTGGTGTGAGGTTAGCCTGTGTTTTTGTGGGTGCAGTTAGCTATTTTGTGGGGGGTGGAGATTTCCTTCTAGTACTTTCTGTAGGGCTAGTTTTGTGAATAGGTATTGTTTAAATCTAGTTTTGTCATGGAGTATCTTGTTTTCCCCATGAATGGTGATTGGAAGTTTTGCTAAGTATAGTAATCTGGGCTTGCATTCGTGGTCTCTTAGTGTCTGCAGCTCATCTGTCCAGGACCTTCTGGCTTTCATGGTTTCCACTGAGAAGTTGGGTTTAATTCTGATAGGTTTGCCTTTATACATTACTTGGCCTTTTTCCTTTACTCTCTTTCTGCTGTTTCCATCAGCTATTACATCATATCCTCAGTAATGCCTGCCCCTTACTCAGTTTCTTAAGCTTGGTTTCTATAGTTTCTCATCTCCCTCATTAGCAGCAGGCATCTAAGTTTTAACAAAGAAACATACATGTCTATAGGGGTTTTATGTGTGTTCCCTCTTGTTCTCAGAGAGACTCATCTTGTGTGTGTGTGTGTTTCAATTGTGGCACATTCATTAGATATAAATCATGGGGAGCATGGATTTTCAAAAGTCTTCCTTTTAAGATAGCTTGAGAAAACTTTCCTAGATGTTAGGTTTATAGCTCTCGAGCCAAACATCCTCAAATACCATTCTTGTTTTAGTAGCACATATCTAAGTTAGTACCTATTCCTTAACTTTTCTCACTTGGGTTCTTTGAATACAAAATATGGATTTGATCGAACTTCTTTCATGAATTTTCAGAGAGTATTAAATAAGAGAGTTTAATTAACTGATCCCACTGTTTCATGTGCCATACCGGAAGATATCATCTCCACTGTAACCTTTTCACTCCATCAGTCTGTAGGAGTATGCAGACTTCGCTGATGTGTATGGTCGACTCCCCAACAGCACTGTGGAGTTACAATTTCTTTTCCAACTTGCTCAGGCTACCAGCATAATGCCCCCATCTGGCAGGAATGTGTAAGTGTTACAATCACCCCTAAGAGATCTGTGCCAGTGCTGTCCAGCTGTCCCTCTCTCTCTCCTCAGGCTGGTACAGAAGCAACACAAGAAACGAAGAGCACACTGATGTCCTCCTTCACTGGAGTGAGTCTACTCAGAAGCTGAGCTCACAGACTGTTCTCACATGGTCGAGGTTGTTGCTAGATACGATGTCCAACAGAGGTCTTTCCATCAACTTGATTTACATCTGGATTTTAAACTGTCTGCGCATTGGAATCTGATAAACATTGCTCTTGTCTTGGTTCAACAATGCAAAAGACCTGAATTTAAGTTAATATAGCAAAACAATGAGGAAAACTATGCCTTTACTGATCTTTTTATATAAAAAAAAAACCCTGAGAATCACAGTCTACTGGGAGAGTCTGAATTTTCATTTAGCATTATAGCCAATGCCAAGGATACATATTTTCTCAGTAGCTAGAAATTCCACCACAGCAATTATGAACACAGTAGAGCAAAACATACAGTGGCAGAGAATACACATCTGTACACAGATGAGAATAATAACACCTGTAGGCAACATATGGGGTAGCCTAGTCCTCGTTGTGTGTGAGAAAGTGTGAATGGGGTGTCACTGCACATACCCTATTGGATGAATGGCTACCTAAGTCACATTCCCGATCCAGACTTTGGACTATCAGAGTATTGTGGAACACCAGTTACAACCACTGACAGGTAGGAATGACGATGGTCAAAATGATTATGAGTCTGAATAAGATTGTCAGGGAAGATTTTATTATTTTGTAATACAGAAAAGGAATGACCATGCTTTTGAGGGAGGGCATTCAGAACTTTCCACGTGATCTTAGAATCTCTGGGCTCAGGACAGAAGGAGGAGGGAGCAGATCATCTTCAATGCATGGATTCCTTCTCCATTGCTTGACCGAGGTCCTTGTGGCAAAGGTCAACAGCAGCCCCCAGACTGCTGGCTTCCACCACAACTGCTGCCCCCGCTGCTACCACAGCAGCCACTGCTGCCTCCTCTGCTGCCACAGCAGCCACTGCTGCCCCCGCTGCTGCCACAGCAGCCACTGCTGCCTCCGCTGCTGCCACAGCAGCCACTGCTGCCACCACTGCTACAGCATCCAGAGCTGTGACGATGGCGACGGAAAGATCTGCGGGGCTTGTGGTGGCTCAGGCAGCAGCCACCACCTCCAGAGCTGCAGCAGCCCCCGGAACTAGAGCCACAGCAGCCCCCAGAACTGGAACCACAGCAAGAAGAGACAGGAGGGCACTTAGGAGGACACTTAGGAGGGCATTTTGGTGTCTGGCACTTGGGAGGGCACTTGGGAGGACACTTGGGAGGGGGCTGGCACTGCTGCTGGCTCTGCTGGCAGGACATCTCTGCTGGTGGATGCTGAGGAGCTGTGGGAGAATCACACACGTCAGACCCAGGATCCTGGGGCAGCTTATTCACCTCTAAACATCACTGTTATTCATGGAAACACCAGATTTAGCAGCTTTATTTCTAACAAACCCCAAGGCCCTTGCAGTACTGGCCTGCAGAGAAGAATTATCTGATAAGTTTCAATAGGAGAAAAGAGGTGCTCATTCTTTGTAAAATTCATTTTCCTATAAGTCTTAAGCTGAGAGATTTTACAGTCTGAAGTGATATTCAGAATAATTCCCTCCTCTACCCAGCTTTTCTTTCATGGACATCTTTTACAATGCCATTGGGCTTGATCTACTGCTGTTGTGTTCATATGGAGATTCTTAGGGGATTTTCATTGATTCCCTAAGCTTCCTGAACTGATGATGATAATGATGTCACAGAGGAAAATGGTGATTATTGATTTGTGATCTTTCTCCCTTTAATAAAAGACCTAACTGATCTATTCCCTGGGGTAAGAATCAGGTCTTGTTGCAAGTCTGAACTCATCTCAACACCATGCTGACTTGTTGGTATAACAAGTCTTGTGCTGTTGTATCTTAAAAATTCTGAGCAGTCTGTGTTCAAATTCCAGATCCAAGGCTGTGGGTGTTTTCCAAGCCCAAAGATCCCTTGCTGCTCTGTCCTCATTTTTAGTCTTTCCTTGCAGGCTGTCTCAGGGCCCTGTTAGCCGAGGGACACTTCCCAAGCCTGAAATTATCAAAGTCTACAGCTCTCTGTATTTCAGGTTCCCATCCTGATGGCCCACTCCCCGGGGGAGGGGTGGCAAATGATCCTCTCTAGATTCAGAAGTCAGAGGTACCCAGTTACCCACTCCACCACTCCTACCCAACCTTCATTTTTCTCCTCTACTCACTGCTCTGCCAGCATAACTCCGGCAATACGCCCTTGCCCAGCCCACCCATACTCCTCAGCTCTCCTCTTGGCTTCCCTGCATTGACCATGCTCTGGGTCCCCCAGTAGACACTTACCAAGATGACAGGCAGCACAAGATGTGTGGGCACCTCAGAAGGTGAGTGGATGGAGGTGCTCTGTCCCTCAGTCCTTTTATTCTGATCTCAGGCTCTGCCCTACCCTGTGAGACAGTAGTTGGTCATGAATGGCCCTGCCCCCGGTAGCATGTGGTCCTGTGACTGGTGATGACAAAACAGATGTTTCTCATCTGCTTTCTGCAGTGGGACTCATGGATGCTGCATCCAGCTTGGAATATGATTTAGAAATGAGATGAGGAAATGGATTCCTGTCAGGTTTAACCTTACATACCAGAAGGATCCATAAGAGTATCTCATTGCCCAGCTGATCACTTTGGCACTCTCTCTGAAATGATTGGCACTCCAAGTTCCAGAGTTATGCTACAGGACTCTGCAATTCTGTATCTGTATTCCTCATTCCTACCCAGTAGATATATTTTATATTGAGCACAGACCCTCCTCTATTTGTCTACCCTTACCACTCTCATTAGTTCCATTTGTGACTATAGCGTTTCACTTTGAATTTCATGTAATATGCACATATACAACTTTATGTGTTTATATAAATTTATGAAGGAAATAGTGAGGGAATATACATATTTGTCTTTCCACAACTGGCTTAATTCATCTAGAATCATCTTAAGTTCTTTTTATTTCTTTGGAAATAACACAACTTTCTTCTTCATTGTGGAAGAAATTCCAATGCATACCGCATTTTGTTAACCCACCCCTCTGTTGTTAGCTATTGGTTCTGTGGTTTATCTGTGGAGAAGACCCCATGACAGTGATGTACTGCATAAGTGCTGTATTGACTTGGAGATCTTTTGAGTAAATAAATGCTCAGAAGTATATAGCTGGTCATAGTAGGTCAATTTTCCATAACTACTTGCATTATCACTGGGGTAAGATGGAATCTCAGTGTAGTTTCTATTTGGATTTGCATTTCTCCTATGGCTATCACTCTTGAATTTTTTTCACAGCAACCATTTATATTTAATTTTCTGAGAAATGTCTATGAATTTCATTACTCCATTTATTGGTTGAGTAGTTTTAGTTTAGCATTTTGAGCTCTTTGTACATCATGGGCATTAATCCTTTGTTGGCTATATAGTTGGCGGATTTTGAGCCATTTTGTAGACTGTCTTTCATTCATAGGTTTCCTTTTCTGCATAGAATATTTTTTCATTTCATAAGGTCTAATTTGTCCAGTGTTAGCTTCACTTCTTGAGCAATTGAATCTCAATCAGATAGTTCTTGCCTATGCCATTATTTTGAAGTATTTCTGTTACTTTTTCAGGTCTTATTTTAAGAGTTTTAATCTACCTGTGGTTGATTTTTATGCAGGGTGAGAGATAAGTGTCTAGTTAAATCTTTATGTGTGATGATACAATTTTCTCAGTAGAAAAGGGTTTTTCTCCAGTGTGCATTTTTGCATTTTGTTGAAAGAGTCAAGTGACTTGAGCTGGAGAGATGGCTCAGTGGTTAAGAGCATTGCCTGCTCTTCCAAAGGTCCTGAGTTCAATTCCTAGCAAAATGGTGGCTCACAAACATCTATAATGAGGTCTGGTGCCCTCTTCTGGCCTGCAAGCATACATATAGACAGAATATAGTATACATAATAAATAAATAAATTTTTTTTTAAAAAAAAGAGTCAAGTGACTCTAGCTGCATGGCTTTGTGTCTGCCCCGCTCTACTCCACTATTTCATGTCTTCACTTGTGTTGGTACTATGATGGCTTTGTTACTATGACCCTGCACTGTCACTTGAAATATCACCATACTTGATAATTTTATCATTATTCTTTGTACCATAATTATTTTGGACTATCTGTGGTCTTCTATACTTGAAAATTAATTTTGAAATTTTTTTTTAGTTTCTGTGAAGGATGACATTGACATTTTGATGGAGATTGTATTGAATCTAATGATTACTTTCAGTAAATAGTTTTTACAGTATTAATTCTTCAATCCATGAGATGAAAGGTCGTTCCACCTTCCAGTGTATTCTTTAGTTACTCAATCTTTAAAGAGTTTCCAATATGGAAATATTTCTCTTCCTTGATTACATGTATTCCAAGATAAGTTTTTTTTTTTTGGGGGGGGGGGTTTCGAGACAGGGTTTCTCTGTGGCTTTCGAGCCTGTCCTGGAACTAGCTCTGTAGACCAGGCTGGCCTCGAACTCACAGAGATCCGCCTGCCTCTGCCTCCCGAGTGCTGGGATTAAAGGCGCGTGCCACCACCGCCCAGCTCCAAGATAAGTTTTAAGGAACTGTAAATCAGATTTGGTTTCTTTCTCAATATGCTTGTTATTTCTATATATGAAAGCTACTGCTTTGTTAATGTTAACTTTGTAACTGACCACATTTCATAAATTATTTTTCAATTCTAAGAGGTTTCCAGTGGAGTTTTAGGGTCTCATGTATAGAGTCTTGCCATCTGCAACTAAAGACACATTGATGTATTTTTAATTGTATCCTTTTTTTCTTCCTCTTAACTTACTATTGTATAAGAGTTTGAGCACTACATTCAGTAAGAGAAGACTAAGTGGATGTAGTTGTGTGTTTGTGTTTAGTTTAAATGTTTCATGGTTTTCTCCATTTAGTATAATGTTGGGTACAGGTTTGTTGTATATGCCCTTTATGATGTTGAGATGAATTTCCTTTTTTCCTTGGCTCATCAGGCCTTTTATAGTGAATTAATGTTGGATCCTCAAAACTGTTTTCTGTGCCTATTGAGGTGATCATGTGATTTTCTTCCTCGAGTCCATTTATAGGTATATTAAATTTATTGGTGTATATATTCATATATATCTACACACATATATAGCAATAATATCTATATATACATACATACATACATACATACAGACAGACAGACAGACAGACAGACAGATAGATAGATATTTAAAGGGAGAGAGATTGAGGGGGAGCAAGAGAGAACTGTACATAATAAATCCTCTTAGTTCCCTGGTTATGTAGTAGGTATTCTTCCATATACTTTCTTTGATTTGTGTAGTTGGTGTTTTACTTGTAACATGAGGTGGTGAATCTCTTACCTGATCTTTTCTGTTTAATTTCCTATATGCCTTTTGTACATGGATCATCACACTGACTTTTTAAATGTCCCATGTCACTGACATGAAGCTGTAATAATTTCCTTAAAAATCTGGCTGGGGTTTTGCATTTCTTTACCTGTACCCATCTTGTACATTAGATACTCTATGATCTTAAATCTTTTCACCAATGCTATTGATGATATTTCCATTTATAAATAGCTATTCCTTATGCTACAGATCACCCTCCAGGGAGCTGCCCTCTGAAATATGCACAACTAGGTATGTGAAGTCACATGACTTGAGGGATCTGCCACTGTCTCACCTGGCAAGATTGTTGTGATCTTCCTTAGTCTGCTCCAAAGGTCTTAGTAACTGGGAGAGGTCAGGAAGTGATTCCTGGGTGTCCACAATGACAGCTCTTCTCAACTCAACTTCTGACTTCCAGAATTATGAGATCTAGATGCCATCTGCTCCATGTCTCTGCCTCTGCAGAAGCACACCCATGTCATCAGCTACCCCATGCAACCTTGCTTAGGAAGACTGAAAGTCTATCTCTGACTGTGAGTTCTGCAGGTCAGTGTCAAGCAGTATAACCATCTTGACTAGTCAAAGTCTGACTTTCTAGGGATTTCTATGTAGTATGCTGTCTCTCTATTATAATGACTAATTTTCTTCTTCTTATGGAATGCAAGAACACAACTGTGCTCTAAGCAGAAGTAATTCACGAAACAATGGGCTTTTTGTTTCTGTGCTCCAGAGCAAGTACCAAATAAATTAGTCATTTTCATTTGTTTTTCTCATTTCTATTCTCATTCCAACCCCTTTGAATAGCCATAAACAATGATGCAATGATCTCCCAATCTGAAAGAAGGTTCAGTTTCTACTTACTTGACATTGTTTAAAATTATATTATTTGATTGCTCCTA